TCCAAACGTACAGAGCTCTATTAATGGCGTCACTCTCCAATTGAAGCTTCAGGCCAACAATTTTAACCTAAAAACCAAGCCTTTTCCAAGTTCTTTGTCTTCACAAATATATAAAAAAAAATCCACAAATATATATATGAAAGCTCATTTCTGGCAAGGGGGAAGTTGGTGATGGCAAATGAGAAGTTGGTGATGGCAAGTGGGAAGTTGGTGCTGGCAAGTGGGAAGTTGGTGCTGGCAAGGGAGAAGTTGGTGCTGGCAAGTGAGAAGTTGGTGCTGGCAAGGGGGAAGTTGGTGCTGGCAAGTGAGAAGTTGGTGCTGGCAAGTGGGAAGTTGGTGCTGGCAAGTGGGAAGTTGGTGCTGGCAAGGGAGAAGTTGGTGCTGGCAAGTGAGAAGTTGGTGCTGGCAAGGGGGAAGTTGGTGCTGGCAAGGGGGAAGTTGGTGCTGGCAAGCGGGAAGTTGGTGCTGGGAAGAGGAAAGTTGGTGCGGAAAGAAGGATAGTTGGTGTTGGTATCGTATCTTCTACATCAAGATCGGTGAAATCCCCACCACCATCTCCTTCGACTTCCTCGTTAACCCTAGCCTCATCAGCACCATTGTCATTATTTATACAACCAGCTGACCCATTATTGCCACTGTCCCCGTGTCCTTCTGTGCATTCTTCGGCACCATCATCATTTTCAGATATACTTGAGAGTTTGCCTTTCTGGATATTTTGACAACTTGCAAGAACTTCTTCTTGCGGCTGTAAGGCAACTCCTGAAAAAGATACATACATCAGTTAAAGCGGGGAATGATCATGTATCAAAAGTACATTTGCGGCGCTTACTTTGATACTTGGTTGATTTCCTTACTTTGATACTTGGTTGACTTCCTGTTGTGGATGCGAGCATTAGAAGTTGTCACAAAAGATTTCGCATGCTTAAGGATTGGTGCAGCAAGTTCTTTTCTGGCCTTGGGAGGATCAATCGCAACCACTTTGGGCATAAACTTTTTTGGTTTCTTAGAAGCACACCCTCTACGCCGTGATTGGCTTCTTGCTTTCTCTTTTCATGAACACTACTCTTTTCTCCGTCACAAGATGCTTGTCGATATGTTTTTCTATCCGATCTGGAGAACTTCCCAACAATCTTACCACTTTTTGAAGTAAATGTCAAGTTTCGCTTCTCACTTAGGTAAATAGCTCTGTCCTCTGGCACCAGCCTTAGATGGCGATCGATAGAAGGGAGCAGTCCTGCACAACTATTCGTGTGAAATCGGTTGAAAGAGGCAAAACAACGGTTCCAGTAGACCCTGTAACCTTTTGAGAAGCTGCCAGCTCTTCCTTTATCAGCCAATGCAAAAGCAAATTCCCTACTATGGTCTGCAGCACCATTCCAATAAAACTTGTGCATTGAAGACGGTTCGTGGTAACCAGGCCCCAGTGGAACGCCTTGATCAAGCCCATGTTGTAGTTTAACCCGATGTGGTGAATAATAAACAGAAGTTTCACCATGGTTATCTCCGAAAGTAGGTAGTGGAAGACTCGCCACATTCAGGATGGCATTTCTTTTCTGCGGTGCACCGCTCGTCATTACCATGGAAATCTTTGCTACTCCATCCAGATCTCCATAGAGGGACACATGCTCAAACCCTTTCGGCACCATGGTGTAAGGGCGAAAAATGAAGTTCTCAATGTTGTCCAATGACTCAAGAAAATCTTGACCTTTACGTTGTCTCCTTTTGAACCACCGGGAAATTAAGGGGAGCATTTTCGGCGTGTAGGAATCCTCACTGGTTTCGATAAGTGCCTTAGCCTGTGGAAAAGAAAGTGGAGATACGTTCAAACCCTTGATGCGCTCCCAGAGAAATACTTGCAGAAAGCTTGAATTAAGAAGAGTTTCTAATGCCATGCTCCCAGCAACCCCTTTTTCAAGAAAATGTACTTGGTCCAGTAAAAGATACAGGTGTCCCAAGAACATGGGGGCTAAGGGGATTGCATCACCCCTTGCAATTGACAAAGCCATGGGGAATACCCTATCATGAATGAGATCTTGGTGGAAGTCACAAAACACGAACTTTCCCAACCACATAGATAACAGTGCCGACAGTCGGCAAGGATTTTCTTTGTCTTTATTCCCAAAATGTCTCACCCAACTACTAAACCGAAGGGACCGACTACTGGAAATAGGAGCACCCTTCCGAAGAATATGAAGTCTTTTTTTGTCCTCGGCACTCAGCAGAATATTAAATGGATCTTGATTACCGCTAACTGGAAGATGAAGGAGGTTCACCACGTCTTCAAGAGTAGGGGTGAACTCCCCCCATGAACATATAAAAGTATGGGTGTCAGTGCTCCATCTACGAACCACATGGCGAAGTAGCTCCACTTCTAAATGAATCTCATATTTTCTAGATAAGAAGATGGCGTCCAACACTTCGGTCCTCCGCAGGATATCTAGAGAAACCGGGTTTGCCAACTCGGACTCAACCCATTCAGACCAGCCCTTAGTAATGCCACAAGGATACTGAAAAAAAAGAGGAACCGCTGGGAACAAGCCTTTTTCTATACAGCATCTAGAAACGGTTGTGGGATCTATAGTAGGAATTGTCTCTGGTGCTGGTTCTCCCCCCATAAGCGTGCAAATATTCTTGATTGACGGAGGAGGTCGTCCTTTCTTCAAACCATCGTTCAGGGAAAATAAGTGATCCTTCATAGTCGAACCAGGATGAATTGGCAAAGCTTTAGAAGCCATAAAATTCTGAGTTCCTACAAGCAAAAAGAAAAAGAGAGAGAGGAAATGTATAAACAACATGCAAGATAATAGGCAAGCTTATTAATCAAGCATTTGGTCATTTCACATGGTATAATACCAAATCACACAACAATGTTTACATGCCAAGCTCGTAGGAGAATGAATGAGACCGACAGGCTCAATGCTAAAACATGCCAAGCAAAAACTTATAGACAAGCTTTCCAACCATGTCAGCTGGACATCCCATCTTTGGAAAATCGCCAAAATTCAAGTTTGCAGCCAATAAAAGTCAAACTTTCCAGACTTGAATTAGACATGTCAAGCTTTATCCTCCCAAAATTTCGCTGCATTTGGAGCTAGGGAAGTATGTCAAACAGATTCCCAAACACAGCCTGTGAAACAGAAATTACACGGCAGCTTATCCCCTACTTTAAAATCTCAGCAAGTATTTCATTTTTTCAAATGACACAAAACTAGTTCCGTCACGCCCGTTAAGGAGTCTACTTCATTTATCAAAAACTCAAGCTTCAAGCATAGAAAGCAAGCATGCAACAAGGGATGCCAAATCGCGGGGGATCCAAATAAGAAAAGGTTTTGCTTGTTCTCAATGCAGCAACCAATTATTCGTACAATGAAGTCAAGCATAAGCGGAGAAATACGAACAACCAGTTACAATACAAATTCGAAGCTATTTCACGAGGGTTTGAAGAGCAAGTAGGGAATTGTATACCTCCAGCAGAGTTCGTTAATGAACTTCATCAATCGATTGGTGGAGATGGAGGGGGCATCTCTAGTTGAACTTGGTTTCATTATTAAGCAGCGGTTAACTCTTGAAGAAGCAACATAAAAGATAAAGATCATCTTTCATGGGAAAAGGCAGAGGAACTTGCATCTTAAGAAGAAGCTTTTGGAGCACAGCTAAACCAACTCCATCAAGCTTGGAACCAAAGAGATTTGCGCACTCCCTCTCCCACAAAAAGAGAATCGTATATAAGGAATGCCTTGGCTACTCCTGCCCACCATTTTCAGTTTCTAGTTGGCATCAAGGATAGAGCTGCATGTCTCAAAAGGCAAAGTGCTACTGTCAATGCTTAGTGATTCGGAATCAATCGATGAACATATTGTGGAGAAAATGAAACCATAGGACATTACAATGGTCGGATGATTCTGGATTTTGGATATGATTTAGATAACATAATTTCAACCAGCTTTCATGAAGAAATCGAGATCATCCAAGCAGCAAATATCGAAAACAAGTGTGGAAAACCGAACAGGCAGATGCTCACCAGCCGTGAATGAACACAGACATTACGGAGCAGGTTCAGGCATCCAGCAAAATTCGAAAAATTCTGAAATTTTTACAGCATATAGTAACCGAGCAGATGATCAACTTCGATGAAGAAAGTTTTACGATCTGAGTGTCCGAAATATCACTTCCGTGCTGACGAACAGTACCCTGAAGTAGCGGCTTAAAGAAAAAAAAAAAAAAAAAAAAAAGGGGGATGATGAAAAGAAAGACAAAAATTGGAACATGCGTCTCTTCAAATCGGCGAAAAGAAGAGGGGACAGAAGTTATTACCGCAAGTTATGAGTCTCTCAAGTGACAAGACAATCAAGAAAGGAGGTTCTCCCTGTTAAAGCAAGCTGCAAGCAACAAGCAAAAAAATAAATAAATAATTCATACACAGGGGGAGACTGAAACTTGCGGCTTCTCAATCAAAGAAAAGAAGGAGAATCATTTACCAGGACTGCTGGACTAGCAAGGCATCAAAAGAAGAGGAAAGTGGTTAAAGAAAAGGGGAAGTGTCTGAAGGAGGAAGAGACGAAAAGAGAAAGGAAGAGGAAAGAAGAAAAGAAAAAGAAGGAAAGAAGGGGTGGTCTTATGCGGAAGGTGGCAGGTGAATGTGGTTTTCACAATATAAATAAATAAATAAAGGAAACAAGCCCATTTTCCATGTCTTATTATTCAGCCCAGGAAAGTGTTGCTGGCAGTTCGAGTTTGGGCCAGATTTGATTATTTGGCCTATTTTAGTGACCCTTCGTAGCCCCAATAATCAAGGGGGCTAATGTAGAGGCCCAAAAAATTAAGGGAAGCCCAATCTCATCTCAAGCCCAATGCTTTGACTTACTGTAGAGAAGTCTATCTAAAACAAACATGCCATACTGGAAGATATTACAATTTGGCACGTGAGAGGTCACAGTAGACATATGAAATTCACCATTTTACTCAAGCCCATTTAATTCATTAAGCATTTTAAACAGGCCAAAGCCACATTCGTGCACAAGCATACAACTGACACACAAAAGACAAGCAACTCTCTCTCACTGTCGAATTACCCGACAAAGCTTAAGTGGGCCCAAGCCACATTCGTGCCCGGGGCTTGCTGAGCGGGTTGTGGTGTGGATGGTTACAAGGATCCATGAGGCCCATTAAAGGTTCAAAATTATGCAGATTTTGGGCTGCTTGGGAGCCCAAAATCCAAGCCCATTTTCTTGAACCCACTAATTGGGCAAGCAGAGAGATGAATCTGTCACTTCACCAGCACCCAACACCTACCCATATACACAGCACCTCTCCCATACGACATTAAACCAATCATACCCATGTATACAGCACCTCTCCCATACGACACTAAACCAACCGGCACCAAAACCTTATCTTTTCTCCCAAAAACCAACCACCCGGCATTGCATAGAAGGAAGGAGCCTCGTCATCTCAACTAGGAGACAAGAGTGCATAGCCGAGGAGCATGTGCGACCATCTTGGTACCGGAACAGCATGCGCGCATAGAGAGATGCATTCCAAGGTCTATAAAAGGGAGAACATACCAACCAGTCAGGGCAACAATCTCACTGCTGGAAAGAAGAAAAGTTACAAACAAGCCATAATCTGACTGCCGGAAACACTAGAGCTTATCCCAGAAGCCATCCCCCTCCCTTTTTCAGAAACTTCGTCCTTTTCCCCCCAAAAGCCATTCTCCCATTTCTTCCAGAAACCATCACCTACTTTCTTTGTTTTCCATAAACCAAAAAGCCATTCCAAGCTGTAAGAGAGCCTTAAGCCAAAACCCCATTTCAACCCAGGCAGACTCTCTCGCTAAACTCATAGAGACTTAGCTCCCACGCCACAAGCCACTCAAGCCAAGCCAAAATCTCAATTCACAACGATCATTATCAATTTGGTGAGAAGAAACCAGAGCATACCTTAAGTACTTTCTTTCGGAGTGTTTTGGGGTCTGATTCTTGAACTCAGAAAGGGGGTACTTTCTCTCTGTAGCGGTCCAAGCCCACAAATAACTGCAAGAACAAAATAAGCCCCCACAATACCATAATTCAGAATATCTGGGTTAAGAGATTGGCCGTGGAGAATTTACACAATTGGAGAATATTATTCAAAATATTTATTTATTTGGAGTGGGAGATTTCAGTTTGAAGACCAACAATCAATGATCATGATTTTAATCCAAGAAGGCATAAATTTGAGGACAAATTTTTGTCAACCCAGTGAGAATGATGTAGATAAAGAGCCATTAAAGTTTATGGGGCATTTGAATCAAAGCATTAATAAGTTCAATGCATGAACGTTTTGTTTTGGCTTCTAATAAATTCCATGTATTTGGAATGGAATAGTTAGAGTCGTAATTATTTGGATGGGGCTTAATGTATCTAGATTAACGGGTTTGAGTATTTTATTCTATCTTTTATGCCAAGTTTTGGGTATTCTTACACTAAACGGGGCTTGGTGGTTTGTGGTTCGTGTTTGACAAACATCCTTACTCGAGTGTCGCTGCTTCAGTTAGCTTATATAGGACAACACAAAAGGCAATTTGGTGCGTATTTGGGGCTCCATTTGCTCCATGGGTCATGTCATCTTATGCCACCTATCCCTTGGGCCCAATAGCCTTTTGAGCTATTTTGTCCATTTCCTTTTAAATCATATTTAAAGATCCAATCCAATATTTCTATATGTCAATATTAATTCCATAATTAATCTTTTAATTATAATTTAACTATTAAATTATAATTATAGTCTTACTTAATTGACCCGGTCGAACTATTTAACTTTGGTCAATTGCTCCGGTCAACACGTTGACTTTTGACCGCTAACTTTGACATTTGATTATCAACCATTGACTTGTGTCTCCTCATTTGTACCTCTAATCACATTCTTATGATGCCTCAGGTCTAAGGATTAGTTTGCACCATTGCATTTATGAGTTCCAACTTGACATGTGAGTAAAGACTTCCATGTTGTAACTCATGTGTTGGATAGCATTCAGTGTACTTGTTCTTCTACAAGCACCTACACACATATCAATGTGTCTCCACACTTAATGACTTGAGACTTTGTCATTCCCTACATATAAAGATGATACTGTGTGTACTGGTCTTTGCGGAATATTGACGCCCAATCAATATTCCTACGACCAGGAACATATTCAAGATTTAGGGATGATGAGAAGTCTCAATGTATGCAATCTCATTACATAGCTCTCATATCCACTTGTGTATTCCTTGGATTATAGTTGTTCTAAATATTGAAAGATAATATAGGATGATTTAATGTATAAAACAACCTTTCTTGCCCATTGATAACATAATATGTCTTTTATCAAAGATGTCCTTAACTCTAACTATTACATAATTAGTTGGCTTTAAGGGCATATTTCTAACAATCTCCCACTTGCACTTTAAAGCCAATCTGACATGTATCTAATACCCATCTTCTCCATGTGTCGGTCCAGTTGAAGCTGACTCATAGGATTTGTGAGTGGATCTGCTACATTGTCTACTGAAGCCACTTTGAGCACGATAATATCTCCATCAGCAACATATTCCCTAATTAAGTGATAGTGCCTCTAAATGTGCTTGGATCTTTGATGAGACCTTGGTTCCTTGGCTTGTGCTATAGCCCTGTTGTTGTCACAATATAAAATGACTGGTGACTCAATGCTTGGGACCACTCCAAGTTCAGTAATGAACTTCCTCACCCAAATTGCTTCCTTTACCGCTTCCGAAGTAGCTATGCACTCTACTTCAGTTGTGGAGTCCGCAGTGGTGCTCCGCTTGCAACATCTCCAACTGATTGCCCATCCATTCAATGTGAACACATATCCAAAAGTGGATTTCCGATCATCAACATCAGATTCAAAATTTGAGTCTGTATATCCTTCCACCAGTAATTCTGAGTTTCTTCCATAGACTAGGAACATATCCTTGGTCCTTCTGAGGTACTTTAACACAGTATTTACAGCATTCTAGTGTTTTGATCCTGGGTTTGATTGATATCTGCTTGTGATGCTCACAACATATCTAATATCAGGCCTCATACACAACATGACATACATTAGGCTCCCAATTGTGGAGGCATATGGGATCTTGCTCATCTGTATCACTGCTTCTGGGGTTTTAGGGCTCATACTCTTAGATAGGTGAATGCCATGTCTGATTGGCAAAAAACCCTTCTTGGAATGTTCCATTTGGAATCTTCCGAGCACCTTGTCCACATATAGGGATTGAGATAATCCAATTAGTTTTCTCGATCTATTCCTATAAATCTTGATACCCAGTATGTAAGATGCATTTCCCAGATCCTTCATTGAGAATGTCTTTGATAACCATAGTTTCACAGAGGTCAGCATGCCTATGTCGTTTCCAAACATTAATATGTCATCTACATATAGTATGAGGAATATGACTGCGCTCCCACTGTTTTTCTTGTACACACAAGGTTCATCTTCATTTTGGCTAAAACCATAACCTTTAACAAATTCATCAAAACGAATGTTCCAACTCATTGAAGCCTGCTTTAGTCCATAGATGGACCTTTGAAGTTTGCATACTTTCTTCTCTTCATGTTTAGATATGAATCCTTTAGGTTGATCCATGTAGATTTCTTCTTGAATGTGGCCATTCAGAAAAGCCGTTTTCACATCCATCTACCATATCTCATAGTCATAATATGCTGCTATGGCGAGAAGTATGCGGATGGATTTTATCATTGCTACATTAGAGAAAGTTTCTTCATAGTCAATTCCATTTCTTTGTCTATAGCCTTTAGCTACTAATCTAGCTTTATAGGTCTCCACCTTGCCATTTGAGCCCTTCTTTAACTTGAAGACCCATTTGTTTCTTATTGGTACAATACCTTTGGGAGGGTCAACCAGAGTCCAGACTTGGTTGGCATACATAGAATCCATCTTAGACTTCATGGCTTCCTACTATTTCTTTGAGTCAATGTCCAACATTGCCTTCGTGTAGGTTTCAGGATCTTTCATGTCATATCCCATGAGAATAACATGGTGTAAGCCCAGATATCTATCAGGTGCTTTACTGTTCCTTTCAGACCTACGTAGAGGTTGGGTGAGTGTGGGTAAAGGGACCGGATTGTCAACTAGATCAAACTCTACTTTATGTTCATGAGGCTCTCCAGACTCTTCCTTGAGCTCAACCTTTTGCACACAAATACCATCCAATGAAAAAATCAATCTCAAGAAATCTTGTAGATCTTGCAACAAACACCTTTTGTTCATTTGGAGGGTAGAAGTAGTATCCTAAAGTTTCCTTTGGATATCCAATGAATCTACACATTTCTGATCTAGCATCTAACTTGTCAATATCATACTTTTTGACATAAGCCGAACACCCCATATCTTAAGATGATTAAGACTTGGCTTCCCCCCAAACCACATTTCATATGGTGTTCTGGGCACGGATTTGGAAGGTACTCTATTTAGCAGGTATGCTACAGTTTGAAGTTCATATCCCCAAAACAATACTAGCAAGTCAGTATAACTCATCATTGATCGAACCATGTTCATTAATGTTCGATTTCTCCTTTCGGAGACACCATTAAGTTGTGGAGTTCCAGGTGGAGTCCATTGAGATA